AAACATATAAAGAATTGTTGCTGAACTGGATATGTCTAGTTTAATAGAAAGAAGGACTAGGAGAGACAGGATAGCATCTTCCGATATCTCAGGGAGGGAAGAAAATGGAGTCAAACTATTCTCCAAGGCACCTGAGGGTAGAACAAGAAGCAATGGGTGGAAACTAATCAAGCAGAGAAGCAACTTAGAACTGAGGAGAAATTTCCTGATAGTGAGAGAAATTAACCAGTGGAGCAACTTGCCTCCAGAAGTTGTGAATGCCCCAAGACTGGAAGTGTTTAAGAGGATCTGGATAGCCATTTGTCTGAAATGGTATAGGGTTTCCTGCCTAGGCAGGGGGTAAGACAAGAAGACCTCCAAGGTTCCTTCCAACTCTGCTATTCTATTATTGTATTTTTGAAGTCCACACAAAGTTGTCGGGATTGAGAAAACACTGCCTAATCCTTAGACGCTATTGGCCCAAGGTTGTGCAGGCCCAGAGCCTTGGTGTCGTGTGTGAGCACATCCAGAGGGCACCCAGGTAGGTAGGGAGAGCATGTCAGCCATATGCTTCACTTCATCTGATGAATGTTTGTTTTGTTTCCGGCAGGTCTTCTCAGCTTACAAATTTGCCCTGGCAGCCCGGGACAGGAAGCTGCCGATTGCCATTGTTAACATTGGCCCCACGCGGGCCGATTCCTTGGCTTCTCTAAAGCTGAATTCCCGCTGTGGGGCCTTGCTGCCTTCTATTCTCCTTTGAGTGACCTGGTGGGCATCCAGACAAGTCAAGATTCAAGGGTAACGACGGGGAAACTGTTGGAGTGGGCTGGTTTGAGGTCCAGGGGGCTAGGTTAAATACTACAAAGATAGCCAGAAGGACTGAGTAATCCATGGCCTAGAAATAACTTTGTAGAACATAGAATTATAGGACTGGAAGGAACCTTAGAGCAGGGGTCTCCAACCTCAATAACTTTAAGCCTGGAGGTCTTCAACTCCCAGAATTCCCCAGCTAGCTTTGCTCCCAACCAACCAGCAGCCTGTGAAATCAAGGTAGTAATTCAAGCAGGATTGTGCCAAGGGGAACACGAAAAATCTAGATCTTGTCTTATCTTACTTTGGCTACTAAGCCAGCAGACCATGTAGACTCTCAGCTCCACAGTTCAATGGCATTTTGCCTTTTTAGGACTGAAAATATTATATACTCAAGTGGGCCCGTTAGCCCCCTCAAACCAACCCCTCAAAGAGTCTTCTGCAGCCTCAGATGTCCACAACATTGAACTATGCCTCTCCTGCGAATCAGCTCCACTGTTGTTGTTTTTTTTGAGGGGGAGGGGGCAGACCAAATAAAGGCACCTGTTTCAGATAAATCTTCTCTTCCTTCCTCAGAAGCATAGAAAAGTCACAGGACTCATTTTACTTACCTTGGAAGGAAGGAAGGCTGAGTCAATCTTGAGCCGGTCAGGATCAAACTCCTGGCTGTAGCTTGCAATACCTACATTCTAACCACTGTGCACGATGGATGGATAGATGGAGGGANACAGAGGCACTGAGTTTTATAAATATGAGCATGATAGTGTAGAATAATCATATCCAAGGACCAGTGGTGGGTTTCAAAAAAATTTGGAAGCTCTTGTGTAGGTGTGGCCTGCTTTCTGGATCCACTGGTGGAACCTCTCATAACCAGTTCGGTAGATTTGACGAACCGGTTCTACCGAATAGGTGCAAACCCACCTCTGGTGCTAAGGCAATGTCGCAGGAATACAGTCCTGGTTCCGAGCATTATAATGGGTCTTCTTAACATGTTTCCCAAATCGTCCTAACCCTGGTGCATTGGTGACCGTTTCTGTCTCTATAATCCCCCACTTCCTGCTATAACATCCTTAAACCCCACCCACCCTGGACCTTGCTGGCTCTTAGTGGCTACCAGGCAACATTAGACCCCGTGGGGAGAAGGGAGAGGGACACCTGTGCCTCTTTTCTGCCAGAGCTCCTCACTAGGCATGACAAGCTATGAGAAAACTGGGTCCAGGCTAATCCTTGATGGAATTTCATGGTCTTACTTGAGTAACTTTTAATGTTACTCAGTAAAAACGTGGCTTAGCCCATCTGCAGATTGCTCTACAAATGAAGTAGTAAACTACTTTGTTTACTTGGAACACCATCTTCCAGGTCTCCATGTTGCACACCCTCACACGCACCCCAAGTCTTCCTGTTTAACAATGTTCAGTGTTTTCTCAATCTCAGCAACATTTAAGGTGTATGGACCTCAACTCCCAGAATCTCTCTGCCAGCATGCCTGGCTGGAGGATTCTGCGAGTTGAAGTCCTTCTTCTTGTGCCATATCCGTCTACGGACATTGGTGATCAGTTTGGCAATCCTGTTTTTATCAAAGCCACACAAAAAAGTGCTGCGGAGCTTTGTCCAAACTGCTCCCTTATATTTTGAAGCCACGATCTTCTTCTTCTGCCTGGACCTCATTTGCCTTCAATCTTTCCCTGGAGGATTAAGGGAAGGATGCCATATTTTTCCAGGTGTCGCATCCCATGCCCAAAATATTCTAACATTCATTTTTTAATGGTTTTGATGATTTCCCTTGGCTTTCCCAGCCGGCTTATCACCCCCTCATTTCTGATTTTGTCAACCCAGCTTCCTGTAAATCCACAATTCTTTCACAATGCTTCTAGTCTAGTGATGGCTAACCTTTTTCTAAAGGTGTGCCAAAATTGTGTGTCCACCACCTGTGCATGCACGTGTGACCCCTTGCGCATACATGCATGATTCTCCCCTCCCCCACATGCAGGAGGGGGGAGTTTTCACCCTCTTCAGGCTTCCGAGGCTTCCCTGAAGCCTGGGGAGGGCGAAAATGGCCTCCCCCAACCCTCCGGAAGGCCAAAAATCAGCATGCGCCGAAGCTGAGGGCTG